CTCCCCGCCGGCCTGATATCCCCGCCGGTCTGATATCCCCGCCGGTCTGATCTCCCCGCCGGGCTGATCTCCCCGCCGGTCTGCCCTCTGCAGGAGGTGGGCTGTGACCGCCAGCTCTGGAGCGACGCCAAAGAAGATGGCTGCGGGGTGTGCGGGGGCGACGGCTCCACGTGCCGGCTGGTGAGCGGGCAGGCCTCCCTGCACATCACGGCGGATGAACGTAGGTGCATGAGGGACCCGCCGGTGCCCTCCAGCCTGCTTGCCACAGTCTGACACCTGCCTCGAGCACTCGGATCTGGCCCAATGGGCTCTAGGCCGGACCTCTCTGATTCTGCTTCACTTCTAGGCCCGGTGCTGTTTTCTTCCCTCCAATCTACACCGGGTCCAGACAGAACCAAGGAATCAAACACATTCCTCTGTTTTTCCTTAAACCTAGTGTGGAAAAAAAACTCCTAACATAGTTGCATCGTTCATTTATATATATTAAATGCATTTTTGTTTTGACGACCAGGGCAGAGACTCTGTAAATTTCCATCAGTAAATGTAAAAAAATTAGATTTCCTGTAATTTCTTTGTGTATTTTTAAGTTATATATCATGCATTTTTTTGCAACCAATACCACACAAAACTGACCCGGCTTCGTAAACAATCGCAAATGGGCCATAATTACAGCCAATCAGTTTGGTGCCCTTGCTTGTGTGGACGGCCCGCAATGGCTGGGGTTATGAATGTCGGTGTAATGTGAATTCACTGTGGTTTTTAATGGTGGGGGCAGGCAGGGGGGGCAGCAGGGCTTACAGCTTGTCGTTCTAAAAGAACTACAAGTGACTATTAGATGACACTTTACCATGACTGTAACCGCGAAGAGAATGTGTCCCGATACCGTCTGCCTACTCGAGTTACTCGAACGCCTTTTGTTTCTGCTCGTCCCGAGAGACGTGCACGGTGGGTTTCCCAGCAATCTGCTGCCTGTCCCGCCGTGTTGGACGTGAGGCTGCCCTTGTCCCGGCCCACGTCCGCGGACCTGTTCCGATGTTATAAGTGGATTTCTCAGCTTCAGTCTGCGGTTCTGGACCCTTCACAGCTGCCAGCCGCCCCAGTCCAAAATTCCTACTCGGAAGATCGGCATCGGCGACTGGAATGGGCTCCGCGGCGGCCCGTTTGGGTTTCACGGCACTGTGCCATTCATTTTACAAGCCCCTTTTTAAAAAAAGGAAAAAAATACTGTAATTGCCTAGGGAGCTGGTGCAGGTGCGCTGCACCACCTGTGATGGTGACGGCCGCCTGCTGCGTCACCCTGGGCTCCGACGCCACATCCCAAAGCTCCCTGCTCTGCTCTCCTCCAGCGCGGCCATCAGCAGACGCTGCTGTTCTGGGGCGTGGTGTGTCTCAGGTCACAGTCTCCCTTCCACAGCCGTCCCCAAAGCCTGATCATCACCATTATTATTGTCATTATTATTGTCATTATTACTGTCTGTTTGTCTGTCTGGGAGGTTCACCTAGAACCTAGAATATGTGCCTGGTTCCTGAGGGACAGAGGAGCCACGGCCTGTACATCCACAGCCGCCACTTTGTGGGAGGAAGCCCATTGGCTTCCATACACCGGCGGTATCTCACGCTTCCAGCTCGCTAATCACTCAGTGATGCCTGTCATATTAAAATGGCCATTTTCTTTTAAGGCTTATAACCACAGGGGACAGTGGAGACCCCCACTTACCCTGGGGTAGTGTGTCAAGTTGGGGTCTTTGCTTGTGTTAAGGCCTTATTATTGAAAGCTTCTAAAGAATGTCCCTTGGAGTGCCTTAGGGTATCTTTTAAACTGCATCTTTTAAACCTTTTCAAAATGTATTGGTGCTTTTAAAGGCTTGCAGGCACATTTCCATAGTTATTTCTGGGGTACTGCTTAATCACTGGCAGTCTATCGCCCCATAAGGGCACAAAACCGGTTTCTCGCACTGGAAAATAGCATTAGCATTTATCCCGCTTGTAAACCTAACGCCTCGTTTAAGAATGATATTCTTTCATGTGCATTCAGTGCCGAGGGTCGTAAAGCTTTTAGCCAGGCGCGAGTTGCGGATCCATTTAGCAGAGTCGCACGAAGTCGTTCGAGGCCCTGCTGTGATGAAAAAGCCATTTCACAGATGTGTTGCTGTTTTTGTATGAGCATGTGCCCTTTTTACTGAGTATGGTGCATTGAGAGTCCCCCCCCCCAGTTATGATGGGCGTCACCTACTGATGACATCATAATCGCACACCTTCCCCCAGAATTCAGTCCAGTTCATTGCATTACAGCAGAGATTTTCCCCAAACTGCTCAAAAGTCTAAGATACACAATTATGTTGAGCACAGACATGCATCCAGAGATGCATGCAGGTTTCTCCGGCTTTTTAGGTGCATAACAATGCAGTTATCGTGAGATTTCCCTGTTAGGACCTTCCTGGCATTCCACAGGTTTGCACCAAATCAGTCTTTTAAAATTTCAATGTCGTGATTATCTCTAATGTTAAAATAGCTCATAATGAAGGCTGATACTGTGGTTTATTTGTTCCTTCCAAAGAACTCTGAAGCTCCTGAAAGTCTCTGATCACTGTGATTGGTTAGATCTGTGTCCCTTTGGCACACGTGAGCATTTTTGCCCGTGATCATCCTATTGTAGGTTTGAGCCCCAGCATTGGCAGGATAGTCACATATCTGTGCCCCCACCCCCCACCCCCAAACTAACTCTCACCTGCATATGTGTCTGTAGGGTAGGCTAAGTAAGAATTTTCTCTGTGGGCATTCACCAAACATCACTATTTTATTGGGAGGTCCATATGAATCTGTCCCATCGATTGGGTGTTAGCAGCTTGTGAATAATTCTGTTGTAGATTTCCCTTCATCCCATAATTCTCATAATCTCCCTTCCCATAATGCACTGCGGCTGTTGGAATTAGTGGACTGAGAATGGGGTAAGTGTGAGGCTGAGATGGAAACATCATTCACAGCCCGCATGAGGGCGATTGCATGTGCCTTAAATGCCTTATATGTGTGGCTGCGCTGTCTCGGCACGCGGTCAGCCCGCGTGTGTGCGTGCAAGAGCTGTTGGGAAACTCTCCTTCATTTGCATTCATGCTTTGCAGCGCTGAAGACTGCGGTTGAGGTTCCTCTGGGCAGCCGTGGTGTGGGGATCACAGCCAAAGGAGCAGGCCTCGTTAGTAAGTACTCCTCACCGCCGTCGCCGGCTCCGACAGGCCGGCCGGAGGGAGAGGTAGCCGACCTCTGCTCCGCTCCGACATCCGAGATGTTATTTTAGTTTTGTTCAAATGAGGTGTTAAGAAAACACAGCATCGAGCCGCGCTTTTAGGAATCAGAGGTGTTTTGGCAACGCTGCCTGGTGAAATTTAATAATAAAATATTCTGAAATACAGCTAAAGTGGTACGGAGGTAACAAATGTGTTAGCTGCCATTCAGACATAAATCATGCACCACTTTAAAACAATTTTTTCTAATATAATGGGCTGTTTATCTGGTCTTCTGGAGGGATCTGTCTGCCCCTTTACCCTGATGTCCGGAGCTGTTTTTTCAGATAGAGGGTCATAAATGCTAGCTTGTTATCCTCAGGTTTTAGTTAAGCTTCAGGTTTAAATACCAGATGATCGTGCAGCTGCGTCGCTTTGAGGCGTCATTCGGCACCTCCGTCAGCTGGGCGTGTCACTGAGAATCAGTGCAGCAGCTGTGAGGAATCTGTCTGCCAGGGGCAGGCTTTCTAATGCAGGCCACTTCTGTGGACGTGTCACTGTAGAAAGCGTTGGGAATGGGGATTATATAGGGGGGCAGATTCGGCTCCACCAGTGTTCTGGAAGCTCCCTGACGTTCCGGAAACTCCCCAGGGATCCATCTACGTGCTCAGTCTCCCGCGGACATCAGTGTTCAGGAGCTCCTGCGGGAGGGGCTGTGGAAGCATGTCATGGGGCCAGCTATCTAACTGTCACAGGGGGGTTCTTTACACCCCCATCGGCATCTCCCTGGTGTTCTAGCATTCTCTGGAAGCCAGCAGCCCAACAAAAGGCTGGCCGGTCAGTTTCCACTGATGTTTGTTTTGTCAGACGTTCCAAAAGTGGATTTTGACTGACTTAAAATGACTTTAGCAGACTGATCTGCTATCTGGAAAGCCGGCCTCCTTCTGCTTTTCCATTAAATCATTACATCGACAAAAGCCACAGTGGGACCCCGAGGCTGTCGCTCCATGAGCTTCGGCAGAAAATCACCAGGAAGTCATTGATAAATCTGTGATCGTATTTCCCGCTATTGTAAGTTTCTGGATTATTCATAAACCCTTTCGGGATTCGGTGATACAGTAATGACCAACGCTAAGAATTTTGTGTCTTGTTAAAGAGAAATCGCACAGACTGAATAATGGTTTGGGGCCTCAGTGAATTTGACAAAACTTAATAATAAAATCCTTTTGGTAATGTACCCTGCTCACAATCACCACTGTGAGAGAACTCTGTGCGTTTATTTTAAAAATACAATAAATTACTCTTTAAATGTTTGTTCAGTGGCATGTGTAATGTTGCAATACTGAAAATCTGCACATAATTATTAGTTACCCGAGAATCCTATGGATGTCTGATTTGTTTTTACATGCTCTCTGTGATTGATTTTATTTCTTGTTATTTCTTCAGTATCTCGGCTAGTTAAAATTTCTACTTAGTAAACTTTCCCATGTCCTTAAAAGATATAGCCTCACATCTTTGTTATTGAGCGTGAACTTCATCTACCCAGAATGCCTTTGTCCTCCCGTGAGGCGCCTTATAGGCACACAGGAAGTGAGCGCTGGGCTTTTCCCCTGACACCCCAGGCCGCGTGCCAGGACTCGGTGCGAGGTGCTGATGGATCTGGGCTTCTGCTTTGGTCAGCAGCTGTTCCCCTCTCCCTGCCTTGGATATGTTTCGTGGCCGATGAAGATGTTTGAATGTCTGTCATTAACAAGATGCCCAGCAATGGAGGAGCCTTTTGCAGTCACATGTTTCTCACCACTTGAAAACAAAATCACACCTGAGCTCCTGTGATGGGTCGGCAGCTATGTAAAATCCTGCCACGCGCACATGTGTGTTTGTGTGTGTGTGTGTGTGTGTGTGTGTGTGTGTGTGTGTGTGTGTGTGTGTGTGTGTGCGTGTGTGTGTTATGTTAATATTAAATCATGGGGACCAAATATGCCCACAACATGATTTTTATAAAAATCTGCAACTGCAATCCAAAAACTAACAATGCCAAAAGGCTTGTGTTTTGTTTGGTTATTTATGGTAAAGGTTGTCATTGTCGGGATAGGAATGAATGAACAGTCCCTACAAAGGATTGAATACAAACGTGTATGTGTGTGTGTATTTCAGTAATCGAGTCGCACAGCCTCTCAGGGCACAGAGAGCTGCACAGTTTCAGCTCCCCGGGATGGTACACCATAGAGAACACTGCCGTGGACTTCCAGAGAGACGCCGACAAGCAGACGATAATGGCCCACGGACCCCTGATGGTAGACTTCATTGTTAAGGCAAGGATGAAAGGAAGGCGCCAGCTTATCTGGGAATGTCATATAGCCTCCAGGGGAGAAAAAAATCATATTGATTTAAAAATATTGATTTGACAGGACGAGGAGGTTGGCAAGGTCACACCTGCAAACATGTAGCGTCACCTTAAACCTCTAACTGTCCTCTTTAAGAAACAACAGGCATTTACAGAGTGGCATGTGCAGTATGAGAGATATGAGCAAAAACATAATGTCCTCTGCAGGGGGCAAAGATGAATTGCTGGACCTCAGGAGGATATGAAAGGTATAATTAGTGAATGTGTGATTTTTTTTCCCCCTGAATAAATACACATAAATATTTATTCTTATTTATACACTGTAAAATGGCATTTTCTTCTGTTATATCTGAAAGGTTAATTTATGTTCTCCTTTGAATGTGCCATTATTGTGATTGGAGTTGTTTGGATGAGTTTGGAGGAGACTCTCCCAGCAGTTATGCTCAGGAACATTATAGCGCCCCCTGTCGGGCTGACTGACCTGTGTCTGTTACTAATTCACAACCAGAGCTATAGTTCAGGTCTAGAGAGCGAAACTCCGGACCAAGATTTTGTTGCAACCAACCAGTTGAGTACTCTGTGACTGTGCCTCCTTATACTCAACTGGTTGGTTGCAACAAAATCTTGGTCTGGACTTTCACTATCTGGACCTGAATTGCCCGCCCTGCGCTTAACCACTCTTCTCTTCAGGTCAAGTCCACGGCCCCTAGTGACACACTGGTCCAGTTCATGTTCTACCAGCCCATCCGATACCAGTGGAGAGAGACTGGCTTCTTCCCCTGCTCCGTCACATGCGGCGGAGGTCAGCCCCAGAAGCCCCCCTTCGTCCCGACCCTGTGACTGTGGCTTTCTCCCTCCCCCTGCCCCGCGGTGACCTTGTCCTGCCGGCCCCCAGGTTATCAGCTCAATTCGGCCGAGTGCACGGACATCCGGCACAACCGCACTGTGCCAGAGCAGCGCTGCCGCAGTCACCCTGAGAACAGGAAGCCGAAAGCTAAGCTGCGGGAGTGTAACATGGACGCCTGCCCAGAAAGGCCAGTCTGCTTATGGGGGGGGGGGGGGGTCTTATCAGCTGACCCAGTACCCGTCTGATGTCATCATCTGCCCATCATCATATTTCTAAATCAGAGTTTCTCAAACCTCCCCCAGATGCACCACATTTTTGCTCCCTCCCAATTCCCTTAGAGATCTGGGGTCCCCAAGGAGTGCTTTGAGAAACACTGTTCTAAATCATTCAGTACATTTCTGTTTATGCTGTTTAATCTTCCTGGGTTTTTTTTTGATAAAATGTTGTGACCTGGGGCCTTACTTCCTCTGATACCCCTCCTCCCCCCCCCCACAGTGATGGCTTCAAGGAGGTGATGCCCTACGACCACTTCCAGCCCTTACCGCGGTGAGCTGCCCAGTGTAAATCCCATGACATGGTTTTTCTTTCCGTCAGGTGAGCGCTTCTCTTGCTGGTACATCTGGAGTAGATTACACTCTCCAGGCTGCAGCAATATGGCTCTCCTGCCCGGTGTAGTTTCGATGTGATGATTATGATCTCTCCTCAACTGAGGCATTGGGTTTGACACCACATCAGCTGTAGTTATCTCTGCCAGAGTGTCCGTCTTCTTTTTCTACCCAGCCTTCAGGATATCTGTTCTCTTTGCCCAAAACGGCACATGCTTAGCTAGCCTGCCCTTCGCACGTGATTAGCGTGAGCTGGAGAGCGTGCGGGGCACTTCCGCTCATACCGATTAGGGGTCCCCGTGGCTATTTTCCGGCTGGCTTGAAAGCCGAGACCGTCTCCACTGTGTCGTGGATTGAAGGCCGCTTGAGACTCCTGGGGTGGGGGCTGGTGGGGGTCGATCCTTGCTGGGTGAGGTGTAACTGTGGAGCCACATGCTTCGGCGGAGGTCTGGTTGGGGCTGCCTTGACGACGAGCCAGCTGTGCACCTTGTCCCTGCAGCTGGGAGCACAGCCCCTGGACGGTGTGCTCAGTGTCCTGCGGCGGCGGAACCCAGGAAAGGGGCGTGGCCTGCGTGGAGGAGGATGTGCATGGCCAGGCGACCCAGGTGGAGGAGTGGAAGTGCATGTACTCGCCGCGGCTGCCTGTGCAGCAGCACTGCAACATTTTTGACTGTCCCCAATGGACGGCCTTGGACTGGTCTCAGGTGAGGCTGCCGTCGCCGGGGATCCCAGTACACGTGTAACTGGCCCGGCCTGTTAGCAGGGCATTGCATTTCCAGCGTGTTGTGTTGAATGCTGCATTCATGCCGGCCGCGGGCCACACTGTGGTGCTGTAATGGCTTGTTAATTTTCCAGTGCACGGTTACCTGTGGGCGTGGCTTGCGTTACAGAGTGGTTCTGTGCATTGATCACAGAGGGCAGCACGCCGGGGGGTGCAGCGCCGGGCTGAAGCCTCCCGTTAAAGAAGACTGCCTGGTTCCCGTTGCGTGCTACAAGCCCCAAGGTATGGCGTCAGGTCGGCCCCTGGCTGGCGGCCCCCGGGGGCCCGCATTAGCCGTGCCATTCGCCGACCTGGAACCGGGGCAGCGGTTTGACGTCCTCCTCAAGGGGGGAGACTGTCCAGTCCTGTGCGTTATGCAGATGGGTGGCGGTCATGCCCACATGATGGCACAGATGTTTCCTGGCATGTGGACAGAGGGCCCGTTATCAGGGAGCGCTGTTTAGCTGCCGCTATTCTGCCTGCAGCGACTTCTGCCCCCCCGCCCCCAGTGTGATGTTGTGTGGTCTGGTCTTCCAGAACAGCTTCCTGTGGAAGCCAAGCTGCCCTGGGTGAAAGAGGCTCAGGACCTTGAGGAGCCACGGTCCGCTTGGGAAGAGCCCATGTGAGTTGTTGGGCCATGACTGATGTACCTGTGTATCAGCGTGTCATTCCTACACCCGTACCTGTGTATCAGCGTGTCATTCCTACACCCGTACCTGTGTACCAGCGTGTCAGCCCTACACCCGTACCTGTGTATCAGCGAGTCATTCCTACACCCGTACCTGTGTATCAGCAAGTCATTCCTACACCCGTACCTGTGTATCAGCGAGTCATTCCTACACCCGTACCTGTGTATCAGCGAGTCATTCCTACACCCGTACCTGTGTATCAGCGTGTCAGCCCTACACCCGTACCTGTGTATCAGCGTGTCATTCCTACACCCGTACCTGTGTATCAGCGTGTCATTCCTACACCCGTACCTGTGTATCAGCGAGTCATTCCTACACCTGTACCTGTGTATCAGCGTGTCAGTCCTACACCCGTACCTGTGTATCAGCGTGTCATTCCTACACTCGTACCTGTGTATCAGCGTGTCATTCCTACACCCGTACCTGTGTATCAGCGTGTCAGCCCTACACCCCTACCTGTGCATCAGTGAGTCAGCCCTACACCCGTACCTGTGTATAAGTGAGTCAACCCTACACCCGTACCTGTATATCAACGTGTCAGTCCTACACGCGTATCTGTGAATCAGCATGTCAGCCCTACACCCGTACCTGTGCATGAGTGAGTCAGCCCTACACCTGTACCTGTGTATCTGTGTCAGCCCTACACCTGTACCTGTGTGTCTGTGTGTCAGCCCTACACCTGTATCTGTGTATCAGCCCAATATCTGTACCTGTATGTCAGCCTTACACCTCTTCCTGTGTATCCATGTTTGGTGCCTCAGAAAATGCTACGAAAATGTTCATGAACCCAGGGAGCCTCCCAGCTCCCTGATAATTGTGTGTTTCAGAAAGATGCTGTTCTATCCTCCTACACACGTGTCATGTAACAGTTAAGGGAAAGACAGACATTATGACCAGAATTATATATGCAGAAAGTATTAGCTAACAAGTCTCCTAGGAATACATCGCAAGCACCATGCATAAATTGTACAAAAGATTAATTTCAAAATATATTTAAGTAGCTGCAAATATTTTACATTTAATGAAATGTATATTATGCTGTGCTGTGATTCATTACATCTTGGATTGTAGTCCTCCTCTTTCATTGTTTACTCTGCTTTTTTTTAAAGACCATTGGCACAGGATAGCGATTAATTCACAGCATGACGCAGAGATAATTATTTCAAGCAGTGCCTTGTTTTGAAAACCTGACATAAGTATCTGTCTCTTTGCCTGTCAAACGTAACCCTGGGCTTTTCCTCTGCTGTGGAGTTAATCCTGTAAGGTTTATTTAAGCCTGATTAAATCAGAGTACGAGTCAGGTGAATTTTAAGGACTTTCTTCTTTGACATTAAACGTGTGTAGCTGGTAGGAATGTATCTGATATGCTGAAACCATCTTTTTCCCCCAGAAGTCCTCTTTTGACAGGACATTAAGTATGTGCTTCTGTTGGCACAGGGAGTCTGTCCAGGAACTTATTCCCAACATACTTCCTAATTGGGCTAAAAAGTCTAACTTCCTATTCTTAGAAGCTGGGAAAATAAAAGGAAAAGGTGTGTGTGTGTGTGTGTGTGTGTGTTAAATATTATGGAGTTGTTTAGTATTGATTTGCATGCCCATTCTCCCAGCATGCATTGCACGTTGTCTTGCATTATTGTCACATGATCATGTAGCTCTTTCTTCAGACATGCATCCTGCCACCTACAGGTTCATTCCTGGGCCATGGCAGCCCTGCAGCGCCACCTGCGGGCCGGGCCTCCAACAGCGGGCGGTGAAGTGTCGGATCCTGCTGGCCTTCTCTCAGGCTGAGGTGGACCTGCCGCATGAGGAGTGCCAGGATGAGAGGCCTGTGTCTGAGAGGGCCTGTCACCTGAGGCTCTGCTCTGGGGTGCTGGGTCCCAGGCGGCCTCTGCTCCCACTCTATGAATGGCAGTATGTCGGCTTTACCAGCTGCTCCTCATCCTGCGCCACTGGTAATCCGGAAAGATCTTCATCCTTTCCATTGAGCTCCTGTTCTGAAGCTTTATGCATAGAGTCATGAGGAACTGATGCAATTCAACTGCGCTTTTTGAAAAAAGCAGTAGAACTGCAGCTTTCTGATTGAGGTAAAATGTATGTTGACAAAGTGGTTTATCCAGGGCACTAATGTCTGTATTTTTGTGTTTGTGTAAAGTAGTAAATATGTTAAGTATTGATTTTGTTGAACTGAAAATTTTTTGCAGGCTATCCTGAGGGTTTGTTGTATTCTAACCCCCCGACAGGGATGCAAGAGGCAATCGTTAGGTGTGTGGACAGAGGGCAGGGTGAGCCGGCAGATGACTCCTTCTGTGATGCTTCCACGCGGCCCCCAGAGATGACCCGGGCATGTAATCCCGGCCCCTGCCCCCCAGGGTAAGGAGCAAACTCATCTGCCCGATTGGGAAAGATCCAGTCTCCCAGTGTGTCAGCTGAACTGCCCTGGCCTGCTTCTTTAAACTGGGCCTGCTGTGTTTGTCATACAGTGGGAGCAGCTCAGCATCTGTCCTGCACCAATTAAGCCAGTGCAGCTGGGAGATGATGAGAGATTACTGGAAGGTGACTGGGAGATGATGAGAGATGACTGGGAGAGGATGAGAGATGACTGAGAGATGACTGAGAGATGACTGAGAGATGAC